GTGCCGAAAAGCCGGACATGTCCGGGAAAAAGAGGACGTATGGTAACCCTACCTTCACCCCCAAACTGTCCCCCTCAGCGGCAGCCATTTTGAATAAGGTCTGGCTCCTTCCCTGCAGCCCCACAGTTCCACCCCCACAGAATGGCAGCCGTTTTTAAAAGGCCCTGCTCCTTTCCCCTCTGGACCCACAGTTCCCCCACATGCCCCCCCAACTGTCCCCTCAGTAGCAGCCATTTTGAATAAGGTTTGGCTCCTTCCCTGTGGACCCCCAGTTCTCCCCCATCCCAGGATGGCAGCCATTTTGAAAAGGCCCCGCTCCTTTCCCCCCTGTGCTCTCCTCACTCCAAACAACTTCCCCACTGATTCCGCAGACCCAGTGGCAGCCATTTTTAATAAGACCTGGCTCCTTCCCCCCCGGGTCCATGGTTGCCCCCACATGGCAGCCATTTTGAATATGGTCTGGCTCCTTCCCCCTGGGCCTATAGTTCTCCTCCTTCCCCCCCTAGAGACCCTCCCCCATGGTTCCTGCACCCCAGTGATCCCCCCCACCTCCCCATTTTCTACCCCAGCACAAAGATATAACTATGTACCAGCTGTCATTTTGGGTCACATTTGGTGTGATTAGGTCTATACAGGGTTGGCTCTGTTTTTTGGGGGGGTATGGGAGATGAAGGGGGGGCCGTTTGAAGATAATGCCCTGCCTCCTCCACCCATGGCCCCGCCCTCTGCTCTCTCCTTTCCACCCCCATCCCGCAGCCCCGGGGCTGTGCCAGGGGGAGATTTTCCCAGCCTCCGCAAGTATCACCTCCCTTAAAAACAACTGTGACGATGCGCTCCATAATGTTTGATGGAAATATGCTAATGAGAGTGACGATGATGGAACTGGAAGAAGCTTCAAGCAAAAGGTCTCTTGTAAGGGATCGTTACAAAGCTTATAATCTACTGAGCGTGTTCGTCCTATTCCTATGCCTGTATCGGTCTTGTATCTGAAACTAGGAACATGAAATATAACTCTGAGATCCTATCGTAATTATGCAAAGTGTGGGCCATTAATGGTGGCGTCGAGTCTTGATGGCTCCCATGGTTGTAAATGGTTTATTTAGCTGCAAGCCTTCCTGTGTAGGTGGGGGCCAACCCAGGAACAATGAAAGCTTGGGGTCTCCTCACAGGACATGTGACCATGGCCCCTGGTACTGGAATCCATCTTAAACCTGGTACTTTTCCATTTAGAAGGAGGGGTGGGGACCCAGAGAGACAAAAGCTTCCCACCTTGTGCTAAAGCTATAAAAGTGGGTGGAGCAGGACAAAGGGGGTCCCAGTCATGAGAAAGTTCCTGCTTTTCACCTAAGATGCCTGCAGGAACTTACAAAGACTGTACCAGACTAGGAAGGAATCCAGTCTGTGAAAGAAGCTTAGTGGAACATCTCTGAGGGTGAGATTTACCTGTATTCAGTTTCTTAATGTATTAGGCTTAGACTTGCGTGTTTTGTTTTATTTTGCTTGGTAACTGACTTTGTTCTGTCTGTTATTACTTGGATCCACTTAAATCCTCCCTTTTATACTTAATAAAATCACTTTTGTTTATTGATAAACCAGAGTAAGTGATTAATGCCTGCGGGGGGTGTGTGTGTGCAAACAGCTGTGCATATCTCTCTATCAGTGTTATAGAGGGCAGACCATTATGAGTCCAGCAGAGGGCAATGAAAATGATTAGGGGTCTGGAGCACATGACTTACGAGGAACGGCTGAGGGAACTGGGATTGTTTAGTCTGCAGAAGAGAAGAGTGAGGGGGGATTTGATAGCTGCTTTCAACTACCTGAAGGGGGGTTCCAAAGAGGATGGATCTAGACTGTTCTCAGTGATGGCAGATGACAGAACAAGGAGCAATGGTCTCAAGTTGCAGCTGGGGAGGTCTAGGTTGGATATTAGGAAACACTATTTCCCTAGGAGGGTGGTGAAGCACTGGAATGGGATCCCTAGGGAAGTGGTGGTGGAATCTCCTTCCTTAGGGGTTTTTAAGGCCTGGCTTGACAAAGCCCTGCCTGGGATGATTTAGTTGGGGTTGGTCCTGCTTTGAGCAGGGGGTTGGACTAGATACCTCCTGAGGTCCCTTCCAACCCTGATCTTCTATGATTCTAGGATATATGAGTATTCTTACAGTTGGGCATTTGTCCTGTCCGAAAAATAACTGATCAAGTGACTGGGCAACTATTTTAAAGCAGTAATTTAGTAGAACAGGAAGAGTTCATGATCTCCAATAGGTAGGCTTAGAAGAATTACATTTTCCCCCCCCCCAATCGGTAAGTGTTGGTTAGTGCCCATTCACCCAAACCGACAAACAGATATTGGCATCGATAGAGATCGAAATTTACAGATCGGCAAAGCAACGTAGTGGTCCATACAGATGAAAGGAAATATCCTGAATTCCAGCTTTGTTCCGACACGCTTCTAGTTTTATGGCTACCAAGCCATAACTTTTTCAACCTCTACATCTGTTGGGCCATAGTTGTTCAACCAGCCCTTGTTTGAACTCAGGAAAAGGCAAAATGCAATGAAATGAAATTCTGAAAACACCCCACCGACAACATCCTGCCTGGAATACCGGATATCAGCCCCAGAATCCCTTGCTCCTGGACTTGGGTGAGGATGATCCCATAGTGCACTGGATTACCCAGAAGCCTTTGCTCTCAGCCTTGAGCGAGGATACTCCCAGAGGGCACTGGGGCAGGGGAGGGGCTCAGGGCGGGACCTACCTGAGAGCAGCCCGATGCTCATGTACAGGTGGGTCAGGCTGGTGGCGAAGGAAGCCAGGAGCATGCCCAGCCCCGAGAGGAGGCCCCCGGCCATCACCACGGGGCGGGCGCCGTACTGGGTGCTGAGGGCACTGCCCACCGGACCTGCAGGGGGCGGCAGAGAGACACCGGGCGGGCCCTCGTTACCCTGTGATGCAGCAGAGTCTGGGGGAGGAGTGGGGTTCTCCCTCCTACCCTCC